TAAGAGCTATAACTAATAATAGAAGGATGGTGGTTGTTTACAATTTCAGATGCATTACCACGGCCAGTTGTGATTTGTATTGCCCATATGGTCAACAAATTGCATGTCATTCAGTACTGGATAAGGACGCATTAATTATGTCATGTAATAATTAGGTATCAACCACTTTTCAAATCAGATGCATCTTATTAAAGGTTAATAAATACTGAAATATATAATTATCCTTAGAAAATCATATTAAGGACTCATAGAGCTTTGGCAATATATATTTTTGTAAAAAAACATAACCTTCCATTACCATTATTGAAGTTATTATTGTTATTAATAACATGTTTGTTTAATCCCTTACAGGTTACTTCTAACGAATCTGTCAATGATGTTGAAGAAACAAAAAGGTAAGACAGAGTATTATGACAGATTAATGATTATTCATAATTTATTTTTTATATACTTACCTACATTAAATATATTCTTATTCTGAATGAGAAAGGATATAATTTTGATATTACTATTATTATTCTTATTTTTACTTGTTTTTTTTTTTAAATAATTATAATATATTAATGTTTTCTAGTCCAGAGTTTTGTTATTACACTCACCTTAAATCTAGTAAAAAAAAATCAGGTGGAGTGGACTGTATTCCAGATTAGAGCAATGTTTTATTGAAAACTTGTATATTTATATTATGGTCTGGCATGGCGTCGAAAATTATGTTCACCATAAATACCTAATGCAAGATTATTGATTGTAAAAGCAAATTAACATAAAAGCACACTTACAGGCTGATACTCTACAATGTAAAAATTACCCACAATGCGATTTAAAATGATGGAAATTACCTTTATAATAAAAGGAACAATATTTCCATGCAACTACCAAAATACAAGCAAATCAATTGAGCTTTTATTCAAAAAGAAGGAATCATATAATTATTATGATTCTTCCTATTCGAATAATATCTCATGTCAATATTCTTGTGCTGAAGACCCCAGTTGAAACCCGGCTAGTAGCAGGTTTTAAATGGTTTCTGATCACTTTGCTCCTCGAATAACCCTTATATTGAAAGTTCAGCGGGTTAAGGACAATGTTTGTATCCATATGTTGTAGTTAAGTCAGTTAACACTGCACTGTATGTCATTGGTCCCCTAGTTCAAATTTCCAATTTACAATTAGAATGAGAAAAATAATATTATTATTAAGATTACTACTCTAACAACTGAGCTATGAAGCCACACTACCTTGTAAAATTTAGTAAACAACCTCATCATAGTTTCTTTGTGTTTATTTACTATTATTTTTATTCACAATTCAGAATTGAGAATTTTAAGCATGCAATAGTAGATACTTACTATGCCATTCAAAGTCATTTTTTATGTTTTATTTTGACTGGTTTTTTTAGATGCTCTTTCAATAGGCTGACTTCACAATATTGTAAAACAAAATTCAAGCAAATTAACATAAAAAATTTAAAAGATGCTCTGTTACCTCTATACTGTTACTATTCAATGTTTCAACTGCATTCC